TGGAACTTTGCTCCTAGATTTATAGTTTAAGGCTGCCATAGTATTAATGCATAAAGCAAGAAAATCCATTGCTTTAAGTGTGTCATGTGACATCTTATTCCTGGCCTTGTTTCGTCAAAGTACCCCTCGCTCTCTTTCATAATGCTGCAAGGATGCAGGCGATATAGAAGACGTCCCTTTTGTGAAGTGGACAGCAAGGATACAGTGTGTCTTCTATCAACAGACTTCATTGAGGGCAGCAGAATGCTATTAATAAATACATGGGGGCAAATCTTTTGTGACTGTGCACTTTGACCTGCCAGAATCCATTGTTTGGCATGTTTACGTGTCTTTGTGTGGATAATTGTATTAAGATGAGGGGCTGTGGGGTGCGCTTTTTTGTTGAATAGGTTCTTTGTTAACTGACATTTGCGGCCTCTAAATGGATAGAGAGTTGGAGTATGTAGAAGACAATGCTCTGAAATTGTCAATGTGGGAGACTCGAACATTGTGGCACTATGGAAGACTATTAGCGAAATAATAGTTGTATTTGGCTTTTGTTTGACTTGAAGTATTTAACATGGTCCTAAAATTGTTATTTTGTAGATTTGAACAACTAATAAGCATGCATGAGGTTTCCACAGTCACGGAAAACCTCAAAATATCAGGGGATTTTAAAATAGTATTTTCTGGGCCTAGAAAATCAAGTCATCGGAAGTTTTAATATGAATATACATTTAAAGTTTTCAAATATCTAGAATTTATAGAAGGACAATCTCTCTCTCTCTCTCTCTCTCTCTCTCTCTCTCTATATATATATATATATATATATATATACAGTGGGTACGGAAAGTATTCAGACCCCCTTAAATTTTTCACTCTTTGTTATATTGCAGCCATTTGCTAAAATCATTTAAGTTCATTTTTTTTCCTCAATGTACACACACAAACTTAAATTTAATTGCTATTTATTTTTAAATAGATGATCAACACTCAACTAAAAATAAATAAATAAAATAAAATAAAATAATTGTATGCAAACATGTAAATGGCATATAATGCAGTTTTTAAATTAACTTATAAATAATAAAATTTCTAAGCTATTTGTTAAAATATATATTCAATTACACAATGGCTGTCATAGCATGTGTCATAACAGATTAATGTAAACATACTGTACATTAAGTAATTAAGACTAACAGGTTTAGTAAAATATGAGTATATGGTGTAATATTTCGCAAAATGCTCCTCTCTAGACTTAATTTCTCTAGTGAACTAACGAGCTGTGGACACTGATGACTTGATAAGGTAAATTAAATGCTACGTGACATTTTATTTCCACGCTGTATTGTTGATGTCTTTCCGTGGTTGAAACACTGATTGAGCAATTACATGAGGCATGAGATGTTCAGTCATGTTTATTCGCGTTAAAACTAGTAGTACAGAGGAAGGAATGACTGCGTTCACTCGCGCTCCGCTCTGCACAAATCTGCGGGGCGTCACGACTCAGACACGGGAACCGGAGCTGATCACGGCCGCTCTAGTCAGTGCTTGTGTTGGGATTATACCAGCACGTTTCTGAACCGTCCCAGAAGCGGCTCTCGAAGGCGTTTATACAGCGATCTGTCATGCCACATAAAAGACGGTCAAAACGCCATTTATTATTTGAATTTCCTGAGGAGAAGAAAAAAGAAAAGAAAAAAAAAAAACTGTATTCATGCGGTACACATGCGTACCGAACCGAAAGACCCGGTACGAATACGTGTACCGTTACACCCCTTATACACACACACACACACACACACACACACACACACACACACACACATATATATATATTGTTTAATTTCATTTTAGTATTTTATTTTGTTTCATTTTAGTATTTAGTTTATATACTTATTTACATTTATTTTTTAAAAGTTTACATTTTAAATTTTGCTTTTATTTTTTATTCATCACATATAATTGTAAAAGTCATTAGCTAGTAGATGTTTTTCAGTAGCAGTTGACTCTCATTGTACACTGTAGATCAAATGTTTAGGAACCAAGTCTATTCAAATCTGGCACCATCACATGATTGAGTCATATTAGTCGTGTTATAGATTTCAGTGTTCAGTCAGTTTAGCCTGTTATGACGTTTCCACAGGCGATGACTCCACAGATGAGACCATGCTACTGCAAACCTGGTTCAAACTGGTCCTGGAGAAGAACAAACTGTCGCGATATGAGTCTGAACTCATGATCTTGTAAGTACTGTGACTCTTATAGTTTTTTTTAATCAAAGTTTTTAATTTTATACTTGTCTTACACATGCTCTTGTCTCTAGTGCTCAAGAACTGGAGTTGGAGGACACTCAAAGTCGGCTACAGCAAGATCTGAGACGACGAATGGCCACTGAAGGTGGGTTTGTTATTATATGTACAAAACTGGTCAAAAGTTTGGAATATTTAAAAATTTTCTAATTAGTCTCATGTTCACCAAATCTGCATTTATTTTATCAAAAAAGTAAAACCGTAGTTTTGTAAAAATATGTCAATTTAAAAAAATTTTATATGAATATATTTGAATGTGTTAAGTTTTATTGTTATCAATTATTATTGATGATCAATTATTATAGTATTTATTCTTTTTATTGTCAATGTTGAATACAGTTTTTGCAGCTTAATATTTTGTGGAAACAGCACAAAATTTGTTCAGGATTTTTTGAAGAATAGTCAGAAGAACAGCATTGATTTGAAATAGAAATCTAATTAAATATTATAAATGTCTTTGTCACTTTTGATCAATTTGATGTGTCCTGCTGAATAAAAGTATGAAGTTGTTATTATTATTATTTTTATCTATCTTACCCCAAACCAATGAATGGTAATGTATCATGGTTTCCACAAACATATCAATAAGCAGCAACACTGTTTCAACATGAATAATAATAGGAAATGTTTCTTGATCAGCAAATCAGCATGCTAGAATGATTTCTGAAGGATCATGTGACACTGAAGACTGGAGTAATGATGCTGAAAATTCAGCTCTGCCGTCACAGGAATACATTACATGATAAAATATATTCAAATAGATATTTAAATTGTAATAATATTTCACAATATTGCCATTTTACTGTATTTTTGATCAAATAAATGCAACCTTGGTGAGCAGAAGAGCCTTCTTTCAAAAACATTTTTAAAAAATGGTAATAATTATTTCAAACTTTAGAGAGATATTATAGAGATATAGCAACATTATGGTTACAGACCTGATCTAATAACTGGAAAGTTGTCATCGTAGATGTATTGCACATTAAATGTAAAAACATTTAGGTCTGTGGACCACCTTTTCAAATGTTGAATCTGATATTGGATTGGATAATTGGTTGTTAGAGTGATAAAATATTGTAAGTAGTGGCACATTTACTTGTGAACAGGAATTGATAGCTGCTGAGGAAGGTGGTAGTGTCTTCATTTGCAAGTCAATGGTTGGTCCCTCAGCCTCCGGCAAACACAAGTTTATTTTCGTTCTTGGTGGTGAAGCTCACTGTTTACCAGTGAGACACATGCGGCATTAAGCCTGCAACAGAGGTGTCATTGTGTAATACCTGATTATGGTGTCATGCTTATCATACAACATATTTGATGTTATTCAAAGTGATTAAACCTTGTTACATGGTGAAAATGAGAAGTTATGTATAAAATATTTTACCTTTTTACTGACGATAGGCCTCTCTTTGTATTCCCTCCTTTTCTAGACTGTGAGAAGAGTGCGAGTGAGCTGACGGAGGAGCAGAGCCTGCTGGTGGAGATCATGAAGGTGGTGGAGAACAGAGACAAACTGGTGAGTCTGCTGGAGGAGCAACGGCTGAAGGAGAAAGCCGAGGACAGAGATCTGGAGAGCATGATCCTCTCCAGAGGCTATCAGTTTCACTGGACCTGAACTTCTCACACTGGATGTTGACTGCCACTCGACTGTAACCTACTGCACTGACCTCAAAAACGTGTCACAACCATGAATTATTCAGTTAGGATTTTACCTTTTAGTTATTAAGAGATTTTTTTTTGTGCTCCGTTTTGGCAAGTAGCACTTTAAAGTATGCACCCTGGAGGCATGATTATACAAATCCTTCAAAGTGTTCAACCACACCTAAAAATGTCTGAGTCATCAAATCATTCTGACAAAAACCTCTAGACTACAGTTTTGAGAAACACTAATCAGCCATTTATAGACCTGAAATCACAGGTTGGCTGGCACATTATAAAGTGTTCTTAAGCGCTGTCTTAAGCTAACACCCAGCTTTAGCAGTGTTCTTCTAACCATGTAAGGTATTCTTTCTGAATGAGGCTTAAGATTGTACAGGAATGAGAGTCATCTCAGCCTTGAAACAAGAACAGCTGCGGCTCTAGTAGTGATCCGCATCCTTAACAAATAAAAATATATTAGACTTGTTGTTGTGGTCTTATCCAGGGTAAGTAAATTAGGCCGCTGTGCCGCTGCCCATTACATTGGAGTTTGCACGATTCCCAGAGTGCACTTCTGCAATGATTGCGTGGCATCCATCAGCACTCGCAAGGCTGAATTAGAGGAAAAAGCAGCTGAGCCTTCTGATACTCTATTTCTCCATCTCCTATTCACCCACACACAGGACGAAAACTGTGATCTGGATGGGTAATTGATGTATGATTTGATGAGGAATATTTTGTGGCTTGTACCCAGGAGGCAGTGCATTTTATGTTTATTGCTTTCGTTCCACAATTGGAAATATGAATTAAAAGGATACAGGATGACTACCACAACTTAAAGGGTCATTCCTGTCGTGCCTTCATGTCATTTCAAACCTATTTAATGTTATTTTTGTGCTGTGAATTAAAAAAATAATAATAATGTAGCTTTTTATTTTTAGCTCTTTCCAAGCAGAATCTTCTGGTGGAGTTGTAGGTAACTGGACAATTTCTGAAGAAATTGTGATGTTTAAATTGTTTGACATCCATCCAGTCACCCATGTTAACCTTAATGCTCACCCTAGTACAAGTTACATGAGGTCTTCGTCGTGCCGTTGGATTGTATGCACCCCCACGTCAGTGAGAAGAAGCAGCGGGAGAGCAGCTGTGCGTGAGGTCGAGAGGGTGTTGATTAATAGGATATCGTCCTCCATGGGCGGCCTCTGGAATCCAGCACAGGATGTTCGCATCCCCATAATCAGTGCTGTAGACGGCGATGCATGCTGGGTTGTTTCTCTGAGGATGTTGAGAATGTTGATGCACTGAAGTTCTCCTGAAGTCTAATAAATATATGCATTTTTACAATTTCTGCTGAAAATGTGAACTCTGATGCTAGGTTGTTGTGGGTAGTTTGCCAGGGTGTTGCTATATGCTTGCTAAGGTGTTTTTGATGTCTGTGGTAGTGCTTACTTGGCCAAGCGAAAAAAAAATAATTAGACCATCTGATGTCTCTGATACTGTGGTGGCTAAATATTTTTCATAGCACAAACAATAATATTTAATTACTTAATATTTCATTTAACATTTATAAATGAAATTTAATATATTTTAATGTATTTTTAATATATTTTAATACATTCATTTTTATTTATTTGCATATTTATTTATTAATTACTACTTTATGGATATAATGTACACTACTGTTTAAAAGTTTGAGGTCAGTAAGATTGTTTTTTATATATATATATATATATATATATATATATACAGTGGGTACGGAAAGTATTCAGTTATATTGCAGCCATTTGCTAAAATCATTTAAGTTAAATTCTTTTCCTCATTAATGTACACACAGCACCCCATATTGTCAGAAAAACACAGAATTGTTGACATTTTTGCAGATTTATAAAAAAAGAAAAACTGAAATATCACATGGTCCTAAGTATTCAGACCCTTTGCTGTGACACTCATATATTTAACTCAGGTGCTGTCCATTTCTTCTGATCATCCTTGAGATGGTTCTACTCCTTCATTTGAGTCCAGCTGTGTTTGATTATACTGATTGGACTTGATTAGGAAAGCCACACACCTGTCTATATAAGACCTTACAGCTCACAGTGCATGTCAGAGCAAATGAGAATCATGAGGTCAAAGGAACTGCCTGAAGAGCTCAGAGACAGAATTGTGGCAAGGCACAGATCTGGCCAAGGTTACAAAAACATTTCTGCTGCACTTAAGGTTCCTAAGAGCACAGTGGCCTCCATAATCCTTAAATGGAAGACGTTTGGGACGACCAGAACCCTTCCTAGAGCTGGCCGTACGGCCAAACTGAGCTATCGGGGGAGAAGAGCCTTGGTGAGAGAGGTAAAGAAGAACCCAAAGATCACTGTGGCTGAGCTCCAGAGATGCAGTCGGGAGATGGGAGAAAGTTGTAGAAAGTCAACCACCACTGCAGCCCTCCATCAGTCGGGATGAGACCAAGATAGAACTTTTTGGCCTTAATTCTAAGCGGTATGTGTGGAGAAAACCAGGCACTGCTCATCACCTGTCCAATACAGTCCCAACAGTGAAGCATGGTGGTGGCAGCATCATGCTGTGGGGGTGTTTTTCAGCTGCAGGGACAGGACGACTGGTCGCAATCGAGGTTTCTTTTTTAATAAATCTGCAAAAATGTCAACAATTCTGTGTTTTTCTGTCAATATAGGGTGCTGTGTGTACATTAATGAGGAAAAAAAATGAACTTAAATGATTTTAGCAAATGGCTACAATATAACAAAGAGTGAAAAATTTAAGGGGGTCTGAATACTTTCCGTACCCACTGTATATATATATATATAAATAAAAATTTCGGTCACACTTTATTTTAAGGTCCAATTCGCCCTATTAACAAACCATTAACTATGACTTTTGCCTCAAACTCCTAATTTGCTGCTAATTAATAGTTAGTAAGGTAGTTGTTAAGTTTAAGTATTGGGTAGGATTAGGGATATAGAATATATATGGTCATGCAAAATATGTGCTTTAAGTACTATTAAACAGCCAAATATGTTATTGATAGGGATGCTATTTTAAGCAACTAGTTAATAGTAAGAATTTGTACCTCTACTGAAGAGTTGCCCAAGTTTCTTATTCTCCATTTATTTGATCAAACATGCAGTAAAAACGGTAATACTGAGAAATATTTATAATTTTTAATAATTGTTTTCTACTTTAATATCTTTTCAAATGTAATATATCATTCTAAAGTACTGATTTGGAAACATTTCTTATCAGTGCTTAAAACAATGTAGTTTTGAAAAAGTAATAGTTTTGTGGAAACCGTGATAAATTTGTTTTTTTTTAGGATTCTTTGAGTAGTTCATAGTTCAAGTTCAAAAGAACAACATTTATTTGTCTTTAATGTCTTTACTGTCAGTTTTGATTAATTTAATGAGTACATGCTGAAAAGTATTAATAGTAGTGTATAGTAATATCCACTTTCACGCTAAAATATGTCAGGTAACAAGTAAAATGGCTTGTAAATGGTTTTTCATATTGACTTTAAGTTTGGGAAGTTAAAAGGATCCTTAACCCTAATGATCTATAGTAAAAGAGATGCTTCTCCACAGCACTCATTATAATCTAACAAGGAAAATGATCATATTGTCAACCACTTGTATAATCGCAATAATATGAAGGTGAAAAAAACCCTACTCGATTTCTTTTCTTTGTTTCTTTCTTTTTTTTTTAAATTCAGAAATAATTTGCCATCTCTCACCCAATGTGTCCTGTATCCCATAGTATCTGAGCTGCAGGAGGAGGGGATGAACGCCATTAATCTCCCCCTGAGTCCCACACCTTTTGAGCTTCATCCTGAGGACATCATGCTAGGTAGGTGAACCCGTAGCCTCATTATTCAATTGATGCTCGCTCAGGTTAATAATATGCCCTTACACCTTCCTCCTGCCTGTGTCTTTCTCTTCCTCACAGAGGAAAATGAAGTCCGCACCATGGTGGACCCCAACTCAAAAAATGACCGAAAACTCCAGGAACTCATGAAGGTTTGTGTTTAAAACTAAAAATGTAAATTCTGTCATTTATATATTCTTATATTCATATATATATTTATATATTATGCCCAAATTAGGTGCTCATTGACTGGATCAACGATGTTCTGGTTGGAGAAAGGATCATCGTGAAGGACCTGGCTGAAGATCTCTATGATGGGCAGGTTCTCCAGAAGCTCTTTGGTAAAGCATATCTGTTTAGTTTACAGTATGGCTACTATGTATTGGTTATATTTGACTAGATATCCAGGAAAACTCTACCTGAACTCCTCTAGATCTTCTCCATTCTCCATTTTCTCCATTCTAATTTGGCCTTGTGCTTCCATCCCGTAGAAAAGCTTGAAGGTGAGAAGCTGAATGTTGCAGAGGTGACCCAATCGGAGATTGCCCAGAAACAAAAGCTGCAGACGGTCCTGGAGAGGATCAATGATGCTCTGAAGGTCTCCACCAGGAGCATCAAGTGGAACGTCGACTGTAGGTCCCAACAGCTCCAGCACGAGTCATTCAAAAGCTCCTAAATAAGACAAGTGTTATGCGCTCTTAAACATGGACCTGTATTGGCCAGTGAGTCTTAAAGTGTCTACTTAGACATGCTGTGGTGCACAAAACGGCAAAGTAATGTCTGTTTAAAACACTATTGATGGGGGTTTCTCATAGCTTAGAGCTTCAAAGGCTTGGGAAACACTTAAGGTGATGTAACAGTGTCTTTTAGTGGATTTCAATCGCTCCACTTATGTGGAAGAGACACTAAAGAGATTGCAGGTCGTTTTATGAGGCAGAGAGATTTATGCGCTATTGATTTTCGTATTAAATGGAGGTGAACATCAATCCTGTGTCCTTAAGTAACAATTCACAGAGCTGAAGCTACATCTCAGCTTGTTTCGTGCTAATACTGGTTTTAATTCATTCAAACGAAACTAGGGAATGCGAAGACCTAAATGTATTTTTTTTCTCCCCTGTCTCTCTTTTTCTTTTCTTTTTCTTTTTTAAACCATTTACTAGCGGTTCATGCTAAGAGCATTGTGGCCATCCTTCACCTGTTGGTGGCGCTCTCACAGCACTTCAGAGCCCCCATTCGCCTCCCTGACCATGTGTCCATTCAGGTGGTTGTGGTCCAGGTACATACCTCTGTTTTAGACTGTAATGTTCTGTAACTGATAATAAATCTTTGTTGTTATGATGCTAGAAGTAGATGACATCAAGCGAGTTATGTTTGCATTTAAAACACTCTGATAAACTCGTCAGACAAATTCTCTCATAAATCTCCACAAAATCACACAGAAAGGTTCAATTGTTGTTTTTGACCTACTAATCTTTGTCAATGTGTGTCTTTTGAAGAAAAGAAAACAAGTCTGAAAAGGAAATGCAGATGAAAGCTAATAAACTGACGCTAGCTTACTGATATTGATGGCATCTGTATTTTGACTTTTGTCTTAATTTCTTTCAATGTATTTCTGCTTAACTTTGCTATTGAATCAAATCCTTATGATTATAGTCAAAATTTCCTTGCTTTCTTTTGATATTGAATCAAGTATGGATGGTTATAATCCATTAGTCTCAATTTATAAAGCTAATTAGCTCAAATACCTGATGCTAGCTTTCTAATATTGATGTTTAATTTTTATGTTCTCATTGTTTTGCTTTCTATATTCTCTTGCTTTCAATGTTGAATCAAATACAGATACTTATATTCCTTTAGAGTCAAGGGAAAATTTGAAATATTTGGAAATTAAATTTTCATACCTGTAAAAAGTCAAACTTGGTAACATATCTTGTATTACATTTTAATTAGTTGCCATTTTTAAATGATACATTTATATATCTATTATTAACCGTTCGTGTAGGAGAATGGATTTGAAAAATTTTGTCGCAGACTTCGTCATCTTGCATTTCTCCTGTTGTGCCTGACTAGAGGAACTTGTTGATTTCCCATAACTGTCTTCTGGAGATTTCTGGCTTCTGTTCATATTTAATCCGTTTCTTTTTTTTTCTTTCCCTTAGAAACGAGAGGGCATTCTTCAGTCTCGTCAGGTTATGGAGAAGATCACTGGCAACACAGAGTACGTCAACACTGCAACCCTAATTTCCAAATGTCACCTCCATATGTTAATAAATGTGTCAATATCAGGATTTAATAATCTTTTGCACCTTTTGTAATGATTCCTTTCATGCATTTCAATCATTATGCGGTAGATCGCTGATTACAAGATGGCGTTTGGATTAGCTTTGGTGCTGTTTTGTCACCCTTTGTGTGGACACACACACACACACACACACACACACATATGTGCACAGCTGACTGTATGGCGGTCCAGCAGGCACCTGGCAGCTGGGGAGATAAGTGTGTGTTTTTGCATGTGTATGTGTGTGTTTGTGGAATACTTCCTGAGGCTGTTATCACACACAGTAGCTGCTGCTGCCCAGGCCGATGGCTGGCAGGAGTGATTAGAGAGTGAGGAGGAGGGGGCCTCATGGGGAGGAAGCCCTGTCCAGGGCTGTCCCAGACTTGCCTGATCGATTTGATCACCCTTCCTCACACCCACATGGCAGCCACTTTTTCTGCCTGGCTTTCAATGACTAGAATTAAGAGAGAAATTACCCCCCATGTTGTACAGGAGATTAATGAAATGCCTAGCTTGCATTAATACAGTTTTTGCTGATAAATGACTGATTATTAAAATTCTACACAATAATAAAACAAACAAATAAAAAAAAATCAATTTAAATGCTATAAGCTTCACAACATTATAATGTACAGTACATTCCTATTCAGGATACAGGATATTCATTTTGAGATTTGCTAAAGATTTCATTTAACTGTTGTTAAATTAGTGTTTTTATAGATTAATTTAGCATTGCATGATGGCAGACAATTGAATATTGGATGACAACTGTTATATTGATGTTATGTGATGATTTTCTGATCACATGCTTATATGTGTGTATGTTGGTACTAGGTTCATCATAATTTAATGTTTTAATCATTATTTGATGTTTTTTTTATGTTCACAGGGCATTATCTGGCAGACATGGTAAGTGTTATTTAGTTATTATTTCCATTTCCTGCTGTTGAACCAACACACTGCTGTTGAAAAGTTTGGAGTTAGTATGTTTGTGAAAGAAATGTATGCTTTTATTCAAAAAGGATGTGTTAAATAAAAATACATTTATAATTTTGCATAAGATTTCTATTTCCAATTAATGCTGTTTTTTACTTTTCTATTTATCAAAGAAAATGTATCAAGTTTCCCCAAAAAATATTAAGCAGCAAGTAAAAAAAAAAGAGGTACTTGAGCATCATATTAGAATGATTTCTGAAGGATCATGTGACACTGAAGAACATAGAAATGGATGCTAAAATTTGAGCTTTGAATAAAAGAAAAATTACACTCTATTAATGCTAAAGTTAGAAAACGGTTCTTTTAAATAATGTTTTTATTGTCTTTGATCAAGTAAATGCAGGATTGGTGAGTATAAGGGACTTTTTTCAAAAACATTTCAAAATCTTACCAACCCCAAACTTTTGAACACCAGTATTTACTATTCCTTTAAAAGTTGCAGTTATGTTTCTAATTGCTGGATGTATTATTCTATTCAGAGCGTGATGCGTTTGACACCTTGTTTGATCATGCTCCTGACAAGCTGAATGTGGTGAAGAAGGTATGAAAGAACCAAAATATTAGCTGAATTGACATTCTTAAACAAGCCTGACCACATGCATCTGTTTTCTGCAGACTCTAATCACCTTCGTCAACAAACACCTGAATAAACTGAACTTGGAAGTAGCTGAACTGGACACACAGGTAACAACACATGGGTCAGCTCAATAAATACATTGTGACTGTGGTAAACGAAAAATGCTAAGCCAGAAGAAATCACGTGTTACAGTGATTTTAATAAAATGGTAGCAGCAGCAATGTGATGGAGGACCAATAAATGAAGTGAAATTATGATTCTGTTATTTTAGTTATGATACAAACCTGTTTGACTGTGCACACTTTTACAAGGAGAACTGAAGCTTTCAATCTTCAAAATATAATTTAAAGTAGCTCATTCAGTGTGTACTCTATATTTCAAGTTTTCTGAACCCATACGATAGCTTTGTTTGCAAATACATGTATGTGACCCTGGAGCACAAAACCAGTCTTAAGTCGCTGGGGTATATTTGTAGCAATAGCCAACGATACATTGTGTGGGTCAGAATTATCCATTTTTCTTTTATGCCAAATATCATTAGAATATTAAATAAAGATCATGTTCCATGACGATATTTTGTAAATTTCCTACCGTAAATATATCAAAACCTAATTTTTGATTAGTAATATGCATTGCTAAGAACTTAATTTGGCCAACTTTAAAGGCGATTTTCTCAATATTTAGATTTGTTTGCACCCTCAGATTCCAGATTTTCAAATAGTTGTGTATCGGCAAAATAGTGTCCTATCCTAACAAACCATAGATCAACGGAAAGCTTATTCATTCGGCTTTCAGATAACCTATATAACTAAATTTCAAAAAATTGACTCTTAAAGGCACAATATGTAATTTTCGCCACTAGAGGGTGCGTATTCAAAATAAACAAAGAGGCAAAGGCGTAGTTTGATGACGCCGTGACTAAGTGTGGAATCATGGGAGTTGTCGTCTTCATCCCCACAGCCGATGCAATCCAACGGGACTCGGGCAGAAATCATGTTCATGGATGAGCTAATGATTTATTGGGTGAGGCTGAAAGCCGTCGAAGTGAAACGAGGCCGCTGAACGAGCGTGACACATGGCTCGAAAGCAGCTGAGTTTTTATTATGCCACAGTCGACCGCTTCCGCTCCTTCCGGTCGTGCGTATGTGGGGTAAAGCAGCGCTGTTTTATCATACTAGATACATTTGAAAGTTCTGTTATAATGCTACTCTGTGCGGTCGTCACCGGTCTATTAAAACACACAACATATTAAAGCGTCTTTGGTGTTTCCATGTTTTCTACAAAACAAAACCGGAAATCGAGGGGTAATGACGTCATTGGCAGGCGACACAATGACACTATGGACACGGTCCGTGTCACTAGTTACAATTACTTATTTCTCTGGATTTAAACATTCTTCGAAACATTTGGGATAATGCAAGTACACAAGTCAGCAAACTATATAACTCTGTTCTAGTGGTTTTTGGATATTTTAACAAAAAAATCGTACATTGTGCCTTTTAAGACTGGTTTTGTAGTTCTGTGTCGCATATAAAGTCGATATTCTTCGCCTTATTTGTCGAATGTTTACTAATGCCAAATATTACATATTAATATTTTAATCAATTAATAAGATCCTAAATGATTTCCTGTTAATACAAAATTCTATTATAATCTAAATAAAAACAATGAGTAAATAAAATATAAATTCTAATTTAAAAGTCTCTTATGCTTACCAAGGCTGCATTTATTTGATCACAAATACAGTAAGAATAGTCATTTTGTGAAATAGTTACAATTTTAAACATTTTCTATTTGAATGTATTTTAAACTAATTTATTCCTGTGATGCAAAGCTGAATTATAAGCAGCTGATACGTGTCACGTGACCTTTCAGAGATCATTCTAATATGCTGATTTGCTGCTTAAGAAGTGTTCAAAAAAACAATTGTGTTGCCTAATATTTTTGTGAAAACATCTGTCTGAAATCTTCTGTCAAAAACATCTGAAATCTTCTGTCACATTATGTCTTCTTCACAGTTTTTGATCAATTTAAGGCCTCCTTGCTGAATAAAAGTAGTTTTAGTGTACCAGAATAATGTGTTATGTAAATTTGTACCTCGATTTGGCATCTACGACAGGGCTGTGTTGTTCTGACTGAAGTGTGTTTGTAGTTTGCAGATGGTGTGTATCTGGTCCTGCTGATGGGACTTCTGGAAGGATACTTTGTCCCCCTTTACAACTTCTTCCTGACGCCTGAGAATTTTGACCAAAAGGTATAAATTAGCAGTGCGTCTGCGGTTAGCGTGCTTCAGTATGAAAGCCACCCTGGTGTGCTGTGTTGAGTGTCATTGAGAGGGGGTGGTGTTGACAGTCAGCCCAGAGTACAGGCTGCTCACCTGGGTCACATCCAGCAGGCCCGGCCTGTGCCAGCTGGGCATGTCGCACCAGGATGCATCTGTAATCTGCCTCTGCACAGGAAACGGATAAGTGGGGTGATGTGTAGCTTCCTTCTAATATCCAGTGCTAGTGTGTGGATACAGTCCAGTTTGGGAAAAATCACTTTTTTTTTTTTTTTTTTAAATGCATGCCTTTCTTTGTACTTCAAGGTGTCACAATATGGCGGTTTCTTTTTTTACCTGCAGGTTCATAATGTGTCTTTCTCCTTTGAGCTGATGCAGGACGGTGGCTTGGAGAGGCCCAAACCCAGGCCTGAGGGTAATTATGGCTTTGTTTGCTCCAAATCCTGTCATTGTAATTGTGTGGTTGACAGGCCATTTACAAAAGATTTGTCTTGTCAGAACTGTACTTGGATACTTTCCCAATTCGCAAGTGTTGCTCTTTCAGCCTGAATGTACAGTTCTTAAATGTCTCATACAAAAATTTAATTGAAAGATAATTGAAAAATTATTTAAATAAAGTTAAAAGCTTTTTTTTGGGTTGGCTTGTGTTGTAAACGTAAATTACATAAGTACACTGCTGTTCAAAAGTTTGGGATCAGTAAGTTTTAAAAATGTTTTTAAAGAAGTTTCTTATGCTCATCAAGGCTGTATCTATTTAACTGAAAATAAAGAAAAAAAACAAATTTTTGTGAAATATTATTACAATTTAAAATGTTTTCTTTTTTAATATACTTAAAAATATAATTTATTCCTTTGAAGCAAAGCTGAATTTTCAGCATTATTACTGAAAATTCACTATACTTTTTTTTGCAGGATTCTTTGATCAATAAAAAGTTAAAAAGAACAGAGTTTATTCAAAATAGACATTTTGTGTAGCAATATACACTACTATTCAAAAGTATAGGGTTAGTAAAAACATTTTTTATCTTTTTTTTTTTTTTAGAGAGAAAGTAATACTTTTATTCAACAAGGATGTTTTAAATGGATAAAAAGTGATAGTAAAATATTTATTTTGAATAAATGCTGTTATCTTTAACATTTTATTAATCAAAGAATCAAAGAAAAAAGTATCACAGGTTCCAAAAAAATATTAAGCAGCACAAGAGTTTCAGCACTGATAATAATCAGATAATAAATGTATAAATCAGATAATAAATTGGCATATTAGAATGATTTCTGAAGGATCATGTGACACTGGAGTAATGGCGGATGAAAATTCAGTGTTGTGTCACAGAAATAAATTATATTTAGTAAATTAAAATAGAAAATCAATATTAGGAATTGCAATAATATTTCACAATATTACAGTTTTTTTCTGTATTTTTGATCAAATAAATACAACCTTGAAGAGCATAAGACACTCCATTAAAAAAACATTAAAAATCTGTAAAAATCAGTATAAAAAGTATATCTTGTACGTAATTGTCTGTTCTTAAATGGTCTTTTTTAAATTAAAATTACGTTTTTATTAAAAGTTTTTTCTTTCCTTGAGAGTAGTTAGTTAGAACTTTTTCTTTGCTTAAGAATATGTAGTTACTTATTCATTTTAATTAAAAAATACAGTTCTATTTTCCTTACTTAACAATAGTTAGTTAGCTGTTTTCTCTCCTTTTTGAATAATTAATTAGTATAGTTTAATATGTAATATATTATTATTATATTATGTAATAATTAATAATAATATATAATAAAGTATTAATATTATAGTTACAATTAATATAATATTAAGTTATTATAATCAAAGTAAGATGTTGTTAATAAATACCTTATCTTAAGAGCTATTTCAACAATTTGGCAGTTCACAATATACAATAGATTCTATACCGTATACAGTATCCATAATATACACATACTAAAACTTCCTGCAGCTGAAACAGAAGAGCACTAGAACCGCTAGGTCATCGGTTTAATTTACAGGGAAAGCAAGAACTGATCAAATGTGTACCTTACCTTAAATGCAATGTAAGTTGCTTTGGATAGAAGAGTTTGTCAAATGCATAAATTTGAATAAATACTACACAAATACAGCTCTATATACACTACTCTGTGTTTGCATTATGCCGTTCAGAGATCTTGAAGAGTCGGGTACGTTATTTAGCATTGCATAAATCCACATCATGCTTTAAATCAATCCAAACAAGTACTGCAACTGAAGAAACTGTGCACTGTATCTGCGTTTCAGCTGCTCAAGAGTTCTTCAGGCCAAGATAGTTGTAACTCTATGAAAGCTATTGCAAAATGAATAATTATTATAATTTTTTTCTTCTGTTTTGTTCCAGATATTGTGAATTGTGACCTAAAATCGACACTCCGAGTCCTTTACAATCTTTTCACCAGGTACAGACATGTGGAATGAGCTAAAACGGGAAATATGTCTATGGACCGCTATTTCGAGTTTTAATGAGGCTGACAGACAAAGCATGCTGTTAATTGTTGTGGAGTATTGTACAATGCCCTTATATGACTAATAATTGTGTCTTAAGTCTTTTTTCTTGTCATCTAGATGGATGTAAAAACACTAAAAAAAAATAACACCGCAAAGAAACGTTTTTTCATCCTTAGATGAAGCGTCAAAGGCATAACTTCACCTTTTACCTGTGGAAATTAGCAGTATAATCGGTTTGAAACATATTAATCCTGAAGTGCCTAAACAGACATATGAGAGAAAATACCCAGCTCGCAGCCTTGCACTACACATTATATCACATAGAACACTATATTATCTTGCTTCACAGTATCAGCTCTCTTACAAAGTCAAGCCTAGCAGCCGTGGATGTTTGACCAAATAATTAGTTTAGTTGTAATGACTTGCCGTTTCACTGCATATCTTCATTTTTGAAGGCTTAGTATTGATTTCTGTGCTAATGTTTTTATAACTGTCTGCACTTGCGTAGCTTATCTGAATCAACCAAAAATGTTTTTACTCGCATGCTGTTGTCACACAAATCTGGCGCAGTTTGTTGTTTTGAAGAACTCTGAAACCCGATAGTAATTAATTTATTTTCTTACATCTTAAGACACGGTGACTTGGATCACTATCGGGAAAAAAAAGTTGTATTTAAACTGAAAGACGAATTTAAATAGCAGTAGTGCAACTTTTGTGTTTGTGGAAGAAATTATAAAAATACTTTTTTGTACCATTTTGATGCAATTTCATTGCAGTAGAGTCATTTGTAAAATTCAATGTCCATGTTTTATCTCCAACTGAAAAATGTTACAAAGTCTACATTAAACGTGGATGATCATCTAGCCCATTGTGATTGTCAGATTTTATCTTTCCATTCCATTTCCTCGCTCTCTGCCAAGCCAAAGGCTGCGTTCTTGAGTGCTGTACTTTAAGTCGTCTTGTCACTGATAGACTTCACTTCACTCACTGGAACAGATGCTTACGGTGTTCAAAATACCGCAGGGATGACCAGCAGACGTGGGCTCTCTTTGTCCTTACTTAAGTGGAAGGCTGTTTGGGGGTCATTTAGTTCCATTCAAACCCATCCGAATCCACATGGGGAACCGCTGCTTGAAAAATCCCTTTAACATTCTTATTGGATTCTTTCAAAATGACAGCAAAACAAAATTATGGTCTACTTTTGATCTCTTAAACAGTTTAACTCCATACACTAACGTGCTTGAGCTTCGTAGATGGTTTTGTCCTTTATAACCACCAATAAATACCAAAGACATTCTGATATGGAACATCTTGAATTGAGACACTCTCAGAACAAATACTGTTGGTTTAAACGGGAGAGAAATACTCTAAACTTGTATAGATATTTTTTTTTAAACTAATTTCATTCTTCCATTTTCTGGAAAATTACTTTTCTACCTGAAGCGCTGAAATTCTTGTGCCTGATTTGCTATAGAAAATGTCATATCTTTATGTATTATAGTACGATTTTGCATTTTCTAAAGAAAATGTGTCCAGCACAACTCACCACAACAGTTCTGTGTATAGTCTGATATGCTAGTCTCTTTTTTTAATGCAGGTTTTATCACAAGTTTATTCAAAAATGGTAAGTCTAAACACTGAGAATTAAATTTGTGGTCACATTAGCAAAATTTGGTCCATTTTCCACTGTCAATAGCATAAAGTTACATAAAGCATCATTCTCACAGTTTTGCCATAATGCGAATTTCCAGGTTGTGTTAATTCGTATTGAAATTACTAGATTTCATCTTCTGAACAACCTTAATATTACACTTCCCATC